TGTGGATCCAACAAGTCATTTTTAGGATGTTTGTACGGATGATCAGATTTATGACGTATTTGACGTCACAGAAATTTTACTGTTAAAATAACATACTCCAGATCGCGATTTGACTTTCCGAATACCCTGGTTGAATCTCGCGAACACCACCATGGACCATGACAATTTGTAAACACGTTTACATGTTCGCATAATGTCGTCGCAAATTTTATGTCTGGACTCTGGCTGTTTGTCGAATTATTTTTCAAGGTAAGATGAAAGGTTGATCACAAATAACAATGTGTTCTGGTCGATACGCGTTGAAACTTGAAGCGAATAAATTAACTGTATTTAAATTATTAAATTTTTAGGTGCATACAAGTCTTCATATAAACAAGTGCAGCTCGTCTGTCGTCGATGGTCAGTTTGTAAAAAATCTGATTGAACTTATTAATAGAATATCGTACTTCAAGGTATAAATAATCACAGTGATAGTTTATTATTAATATTGTTATTATGGGAATATCAATTGACTAGATTGAGCAGTATCGTGCCCGCACTGGAACACACAATTGTATACGAATGAAAAATTATAAACTCATTGACTTGTACAAAGATATTGCTATAGCAACCCAGTGTGGAAACTTTATACCAGCAGTTAATACATGTAATAACATGTCAACCGACTTTTGTAAACGATATAATGGTCTGTAAGAATATATCTTTGAGATATGTCCATTGTTAGCATAATATATAGGAAATTATCCTACTGGCCTACATTTTATATATTCACCTGGCTGTGTCACTACAGTTCAGGGTATACTATATTCTTGGTAACGCTTACAATTTCTTGTATTATATAGTTTTGCAGTTCTGACTGAGTACAATCTTAATCATTACAAATGAATGGTGTCGCCGCCATGCAGAAGCTGACGAATGAAATAAAACTGTCAACAATTAGATTTTGTCTCCCCATCAGGTGTGAGCAGATTGTTCAGTGGTTTTGCAATAGGGGTGGCCTTGAAGGTGCCATTAAAACGATAATTGGAACAAAAACTGACTTAATATTTCTATTTATTATTCATTGCACTGTGTTCTCGGTTTTTCATTGGCTAAGAGCCTACAAAAAATTTTCGGTATTTGTAGGTGCCTGTGCTATTTCCAGCGGAAACAATAATCTGCAGAGGTTATTGGATACCCTGGTTGCCAGAGGTTCTGTATCTTTCGCCTTATTCCCGCTCGTATATTTATTTTACGCGAGGGGAAGAGAACCTCTGGTGGCACGCGATACAAATCTCTCTTCCATGCTGACGTTGCCGTTTGAGAACTTGCAAAACCGGTTTTATATTTTGTGACGTTTTTAAACTTCCGGGTTTGTCATTCTACCAAAATAGCTCTCTTCAGACAGCCTTGTGTAAAACTCGGTGTAAAATACTGAAAATAAGCAGCCGAAACATGTAGATTATTCATTAGAAACATATAGATTATTCTTGCAACGCACAAAGCAAAAAGCAACCTTACTGATTGTGGAATGCCGTTTGTATTAGGTCTATTTATAGCGAACGTATAAAGTCAAAAGTGAAAGAATATAAACATAAATATTTATATATACGTGTGCAACGGAGCCAACTATGGTTGTTCTTAACAGACAATGGAAAAATATTGGCAAAATAAATCATATTAATAACTATTAAAGTCAAAGAATTGCCAAAATTTAAAACCTTGAACGATATAAAGCAAGTGACCGACACTTTATATCTTACAATAGAGTGAACATGTCATGCCGTCGACTCAAGTCATGCCGCGATGGCACTGCAGCTCTTCTCCAGCGCAGAAAGTCTTTTTATAGCGGAACAAACTAAGTTAAACTCAAATTGCGGAACAAACTAAGTTAAACTCACACTGAGTAAAGCATTTTAATACATTCGTTTTATTTCTGTATTTTGTTTACATCTTGTCTCTGAGATTTATAAACAGGTTTTTTTGTCTAGCCAATCACATCACTTCATGTGACTGCTAATTATAACTAACCAATCATGTGCTTGGTACAAATTTTGTACCAAAGGAAGAGAGATTTGTATCGCGTGCCACCAGAGGTTCTCTTCGCCTCGCGTAAAATAAATATACGAGCGGGAATAAGGCGAAAGATACAGAACCTCTGGCAACCAGGGTACATTGACTGTTGACTGTCGAGGAGTGAACATCTCTCTGACTAAACCAATATGGAAGCTTTCGAACGACAAGAGTGTCAGGCTGCGATACTTTGTGAAAAGAAACAGCATGTTATTGCTGTATTGTTGCGATCATCATTATGACTTGTGTTTTACTATATCAAGTTTACCTTTTTTAATTTAAATTGCATGGGACGTGCTGTCATTTTAGCTTTATAAATAATCCGTCTGAGAAAAGGAATTGTGTTTAATTTTATATTCCCAATAGCGAGGCTTTTCTTTCTAAGTTGGATGGCGTTAAATCTCCGTGTATCATCAACGTGAAAACAAGCGCAGTATTTAAGGTTGGTATACTACAATGCATTACAGTTATCGTGTTATTTTATAGTCAAATTTCCGCTTTGTTGTTTTTATTCTTGTACTGTAATTTTATAAATACACTGTACAAAATTATGGTGTCATACTTGTGTTTATAATGCCTCTAATTTGACCCTATTGTGTGTGTATATGTACTGTGTCACTGTGACACATATGTACATGTTTTGAGTTAAACGAATTGTTTAATAAATTTTTGCTGAAGTATGATACCTGTTTGTATGGATAGATTTTTACATATATGTGCACTGTGTATAGTTTATACATTGGTTCTCAGATGAGTCTGAAGGTATATTGTTATTCAGTTATTTGTATGTATTGTTTTATACATTTTGCTGAGTATGATGCCTGTTTGTATCTAGTTGTGGATGGTTGTGAGAATATAATTTTAGAGGTTACATGTTTTTTAATTTTAGAGATGATAATGTATCAAATAATAATTTTCTTGTTATGATTTTATAGAAAGAGATTTACTTGAGTGGTTGGTTGGTCTTGAGCCTGTTCAGGATGGATATGATAATGAAAGAGGTGATCAAGGTGATAGGGCAGAAAGTGATGACGTTTAAGTGAGAAGATGAAAGTGATGAGGAAGAAATCGCCCACGCTGTAGCATTCAAGTGCATCGGTGATGCTTGTGAGAAAAACTACCAACATCATTTGGAAAATTAAATTAAGACATAATACCTCACTCTTCGTGAACACGATAAAACAGTGAATGTAAGAATATGGCCAGCACCATTGAATCCAAGGGACCCAAGTGCAATAGGCAATTCCAGCTTTTAGTTTATTTTATTAAAATTTTTCAGCATAATCAGCAATATGATACCTTACTTCCTATTGCCCCCTGCACACATAAATTAAAAGCTGGAATTGCCTATCAACTAGACTATGGAACTGGATGACAACATGTTGGTTATATTGCTTTTCAACTATGCAAGTATTTGCACCCACTAATTGCTGCAGATGTCGTGGATGTCTATGTTCAGTGTATCAAGTATAGGGTTGACTTTTTTAATTAAAAAGGGTGAGTGGAGACTCAAGTGGTAGGAAAAAGCATGAGTGTATGTTGACATATGTTTTTATATAATAAATAGCAATTAGCTATGTTTAGCAAGTTATTAGTGCATTTATTTCAATTGGCTAACTTTTTGGTTTTTTCCAGCATTTTTAAACAAACCATATGTTATAAATGATATAACTGGGTATATCTAATTAAAACAATCTGTCATGTACACTCATGCAAATAAGACTAAGTACATAAATAACAACCTTGTACCCAGGGGAGAAAAGACTCTGGTAGATGCTGGTCACATGATCTGCTAAAATGTAGCAGATTTCTAATTAGGAATCCAAGATGAGGTCAAAAAATATTTGATATTTGGATGATTTTTATATGTTAATTTATAATTTGCATTTTGTATATGATTGTCATAAAGGAATTCAAGATAATTAATTAGAAATCTGCTAGATTTTAGCAGATCACGTGACCAGCATCTACCGGGGTCTTTTCTCCCCAAGAGGAAGGACTCTGGGTACGAGGTTGCATAAATAACTGTAAAAATGTACTTTAGTAAATGAATAATTTATCCATACACTTGATCTACTTTGTGAGTATTCTTTCCAATTAAAATTGATGCAACAATAAAACAAGAAGATGTCTATTTATATATTTATTAAATTGATCCG